TGGTGCCGGAAATGTGAACTGTGTGCAACCAGTAATGGTCCAGTTGGTAAAAAGAGGGCACCCATGAAACAGTACAATGTTGGTAGTCCTTTGGAAAGAGTAGCAATCGACATTGCAGGTCCACTTCCAGAGACAAATGATAAATATATCCTGGTAGCCATGGACTATTTTACAAAATGGACTGAGGCCTATGCGATACCAAATCAGGAAGCTGCTACTGTTGCAGAGGTACTTGTTAAGAATTCTTTAGCCGATTTGGTGTTCCCTTGGAGGTCCACTCCGACCAAGAGCGAAACTTCGAGTCAACCCTTTTCCAAAACGTTTGTAAATTGATTGGTGTCAATAAGACCAGAACGACACCCTTGCATCCTCAATCAGATCGAATGGTCGAGAAAATGAACCGAACGATGGGTAAACACCTGTCCAAAGTTGTATCAGAACATCAAAGAGATTGGGACCAGCACATTCATTTATTCCTAATGGCCTACCGCTCGGCCGTGAATGAAACTACCGGCCAGACTCCAACCTGCCTGATGTTAGGTCGTGAAGTTCGTTTGCCCTGCGACCTAGAGTTTGGCTCCAGACCTTCCGAAAACATGTTGCAAGCGAAGATTATGTCGACCGCCTGAAGTTAAGAATGAACAACATTCATGAACTTGCCCGCCAACACATCCAGTTAGCCAGTGACAGAATGAAAGATCAATACGATTCTCGATGCAAAAATGAAAGCTATGAAGTAGGTGATCTTGTTTGGCTTTATAATCCACAACGTCGTCGTGGCTTGTCTCCTAAACTGCAAAGACAATGGGAGGGTCCGTATGAAATTAAAAAGAGAATAAATGACGTAATATATCGAATTAAGAAGTTGCCGAAAGGTAAACCAAAAGTAGTTCACATAAATCGTCTTGCACCTTATGCTGGCTCAAATGAAACCGAAGAAGTCCGAACCCTTCAACATGAGATCAAAGATGATCGGCGACCAAGCTTTAATGAGTTTATGTCAAATTACGCAGAGAGAAAAAGTGCTAGATTCGACGTGACGACAGAAGTTCAGCAGGATCTTTTTAGTGTTCCACATAACGTCACTCTAGCCCACTGTGTTGCCCAAGATCTCGAGATGACTAAAGGGATCTCATCCGTATTTTATAAGAAATTCGGTCGCTTGGACGAGTTAAAAAACCAGCAGCCTAAAGTTGGAAGAGTACTGAGATTAGAAGATGGTTCTCGATCTTTGCTGTATATGGTGACCAGGAAGTCGTATACAGACAGGTCAACCTACGAGGATATATGGTGTGCTCTAACTAATTTGAAGAAAATCGTCTGCAATTACGACATTAAGAACTTGGCTTTACCCAAGATAGGCCATGCACTAGACAATCTGGATTGGAAGATTGTCAGAAGCATGCTTGAAGTGATCTTCCGAGAAACCGGTGTAAGAATTACTGTGTGTTGCATTAATCCGAAGAGATCGTGTCCTTCAAAGACAGTAGACAGTTATTTCTTTCTGAGGGGTTCATGCGGAGCTGGAGAGTCCTGTAGATTCCGCCATCCTGGGCCTATAGATAGAGTTCCTGATCGGGACGCTCAGATCTAAGAGGGGAGCAGTGTTACGAACGCGGCTCGCCTAACGGTCGCATCTCGAAGCACCCAGAAGTTTCCGCGATATATCAAAGCGCTGTAAAATTCCACCCGTCGAATAACGAATTAGAGGTGGGACTAGTCCCGAATATTCTCGAACATAATACTTTGGTATATATATGTAACGGAATTAGGAGTTAAGTTTAGTTGATAAGAGAATACCGAACTGTAAAGTTATAAATAAATATTTTTATATAAATTCGAACCGCTCGTTTTATTTAATCTCGCTACAATATATATATATATATATATATATATATATATATATATATATATATATATATATATATATATATAACGGTGTTAGAAGTAAGTTTAGTTGATAAGATAGTATCGAACTGTAAAGTTATAAATAAATATATTTATATAAATTCGAACCGCTCGTTTTATTTAAAAAACGGTACAATATGGTGAGTCGCTTGGATTGTTACATACGAGAATGTGAGAAAAGTGTTGAAACGTTTACATGACTATGATGTAAACATTAATGTAAATAAGTGTAAGTTTTTCGAAACTAAAGAAGAATTTTTGGGTCATGTCATAGATGCCAAGGGAAAAATATAACTGAATTAAAGTCATATTTAAGTTTGCTAAATTACTACGGAAAGTTTATTCCGATGTTGTTTTCCAAATTAAATCCATTATTATATGAACTGTGTCAAAACAATATTGATTTTAATAATTGCTGGTCACCTGAATGTGATAAAAGTATTTAGAAAATAAGAAGTGGTAACATCTAAAAGTGTAATTACACATTACGATCCGTCTCTTCCAATTTATGTTACAAGTGATGCAAGTAGTTATGGTGTTGGTTGTGTCTTAATAATAAAATTGGCCATGTAGAGAAAAACCTGTCATGTTTCCTAAGCAAGATGGGCTATCACTCTGTCGCGTTATCAATACGATATTCAGTACAAAAAAGGGGCAGCAATTAATAATGCTGATGGTTTATCACGATTACCATGTGGTGAAAATACAAAAATTAAAGCTGTTTGTATTCTTTTAGCTTGGTAAATCAAATACCACACAACTTTTACAAAGTATATATAGATTTCTTCTTTAAATTAAAATACACATTTTTGATTTTAATTGATCAGAAATCAAAATGGTCAGAAATCAAATGGCACAGATGCATCAGAGACAATAATTGTTTAACATTAATTGACTAATAACAATTATATTAGTCATTCAGAAAATTCAAAACTTTTTATTTTCTTACAAAACAACTCATTCAACCGCTACAGGGATTAACCTTCTTGCCATAATAGTAAGCATTCATCGATTTCAATCAACAATGGTCATACCGTGTATTAAGTTAATAAATGTGTTTATATTAACAACAAACAAAATTATGACAGAAAGACTACGAAAATTTTACGTTACTGTACTTATCTAGTATGTGGTAATGTTATAAAATTCTCTCATGCAAATGATATGAGAAAAGACAGAGATGACGATAGAATCCTAGATTCTGACGAGACCCAAAAGTCAGAAACTTCTATAGTGTCTGGTAATATGCCAGTGTTACAATTGAATCCAAATTCGAGATACGAATCTGTTCAATTAGAACCAAAGGAACAAGTTCATCTCTACCTAGACATGAAACATCCACGCATTGCAAAATTAAAACGCGCTCCGGAAGATTAGTAAAAGCTCCCATTAAACTTGATCTCTACCGAGGGAGATGTTATATATTAATCCTGCATCGGAACAGTACACACTTCGGAAAACAGGCTTGGGTGAGGTTATTTTGACGCTGCTATGATTAATTGAATTATATGTAACCGTTTCATAAGTAATAAATAGTTATGTTGTATTAGTTTGTGCTTTATTAAATACACAACAAATATGAAATAGAATAAGAACAGTTGAACTAGACTTTATGAGAAGATCTCTACATATCACCAGAGCATATAGAATAAGAAGAGAAGAAATATGTAACATAATGAAGTTGAATGCTTGATTACAAAAAAGTTGGAAAATAGAGCACTGTAGTGGTACGGGCATGTACAAAGAATGCCAGAGTACATGTAGCCGAAAAGAATATTGGACTGGAACCCGTCGAAAAAAAAAAAAATGAAGATTAAGACCTGCTATAAGATGAAAAACATTCACAGGAAATAATATGATAGATAGAGACCTCAGAGAAGTGCTGAGGAGGACGAAAGCGATGAACTCATAATGGGAAAAAGCCGAAGACGTTAAAAAAAAAAAATTAAACTTGATTCCGACACATCAATATTTTCAGCAGAAACTATAGCTGTCATAAAAGCATGTCAATACGCCGAAAAGCAGAATCTCAAACAAATAAACATATCCAATCATTATCCGCTCTAAAAAGTTTTTATAGCCAACTAGACGTAAATTCTGTTAACGTAAATTCCTACATCAAACACCTAAAAAACTATTATTTAGTTTAGCAACTATGCAGTTTAATGTAATATTTACGTGGATAAAAGCTCATATTGGTCTTGAATATAATGAAAGAGTAGATCAGTTGGCAAAAGATAAAGCATTTTCAGTGGCGAGAAAGTATTGAGTAATATTTGACTTCAAGATTGCATAACCATAAGTAAAGTCATGCTACCTGATAACTTCGATTGAATCAATACTGTCTAAATCTTCCGAAAAAGTACATTTTTTGCATCTGAAATTCCTGACGGATTATTAACATAAAAATTTAGATTTTTTATGTTATTGTTACTATCTCTCGATTAAAATTCGGCCACGCCTTGTCCCTATCAGATTTGTGCAAAAATTGCAATACAATAAGTTTCCTAGATCATATATTTTTTGCATATGACACAAAGAAGTATATTGAATATTCAGCTATTGTAAAAAAAGTTTATTCCCAATTATGAACTTACTACCTCTGAACAAACTGTCAATTTTTAGAATTCTTTTAGGTTTTGTTAAGTCTTGTAAATTGCAACTTTAAAGTTACCTTTTTCCCAGGTAATAATATTCCTTATCCCATGATCTACTTAGTCTGTGGTTAGTCACCCTGAATGACCCCTGCGTGTGAAAGTTTCTTCTCTTCCCTATCATTGATTGTTCAATTAGGTTCGTAATAGTCTTAGTGAATGGTAGGTTTAGTTAGGCGTTAATTTTAAGAAATATTGGCAGCTTAAAAAAATGCAATCATTTTACCTTTTACACATCTTTATGTAAATTTGAATTTGATAAATTTAATTATATTTTTTAAGTAATTTGAGCATACTGTATGCATATTTTGCCTTTTTGTGTTAGTCCATATAATCCAATCGCTAAATTATTCAGTTGCATTATGGGCAATCCCACATATCTGTTTAGAAATTTCTTAGAAATGTTAATAATAGAAGAGCCAATAAAATGCACTGTGTATAAATATATTATTTTATTTCTACAAAAAATATAAAACAAAATCAACAAAGTCCACTAAAGAAATCAGAGGCATTTTTTATATTAGAAGATGGTAGATTATTCCTTAGTTCCTTCTTTTTATTGTATTTTTTGTGATTGATCTTCTCAAAATCTTCAAAATACTGTATATTCCAAAACTTCACATCATTGTTATGACTACTGGATGCTATAAACTGCCCTGTATTACAAATATCCACATTTTCAATGGATAAATCATGCTGGCCAACAATACCTAAAGGTCTGTGTGGGAAAAGATGTGTAGCTCTAAGATTTCCATCCTCACAAGCAGTAACTACAATATTTTCTGTGATAGGCACAAGAGCATTTATGGACGTTTTTGGACCTGGGCAAATATCACTATGAAGACCAAATTCTTCCCAGTTGTACACAAAAAGTTTACCCTTAGATGAGCCTGAAATAAGTTTTGTTTCTGTTCTGAATGTTCCCATACATGTCAATTCTTCCTCATATTCTTCAGATTGCATATGAATTTTTCTAAAACAAACAATTGTTATATGTAACTAATAGCAGGAGTAAAAAATAATAGGTTTTCAAAGAAATCCTAACCAACCTCTGTAACTTCACAAAAATACTTTTGCTTCTTATTTTATGACTTTCTAGTGACAAAGATAAGTTTTCAGATTCTTTTTTAACTTCTTTTTGTTTTGCATACAATGTTGTTTCAATATTTAATTACTTAAGTGATCATATATATATATATATATATATATATATATATATATATATATATATATATATATATATATATAATCACATACGAGGTACAAGAATGTGTATGACATGTTGCGTTTGGTCATATTGATGATTCTGATATTTGACAATATTTGAATTGTCAATATTTTTATTTTGTGAATAAATTAGTGAACAGTAAATAGTACTTTGTAAACAATAAGTTACATTGTTTACAAAGCAATAAAATTGATGAAATGTATTCAGTTCACGAAAAATTGCAATAATTTTGTATACAGGCACTTAGCACTGCCAGCTCTTTATAAATAAATAGTTTATTTACGGTTATACCAATTACAATAATTATAATCATTAAATAAATAATATCATATTAACAGTTTAGTATTCAATAATATTTACATACAATTTACACAAGACCAATAAATAGAATAAATACCTAAATGACAGTTTACAGTGACAGCCTACATTGTATTTTAAAAAGATTTTTTCAGCTTTTTTCGAAAACTATTCAGAGAGCTAGAAAAAAAGTCTACATCTAAACCATTTCCAGATTGACACATTCGTCTTATAGGTCTATTTAGACAATAGTTTGTTTGTTGGAATTCTAAGTAAAAAACGTCCTTGGATCTTGTGCACCTTTGAGGAACCCTAAGACCTATTCTCTGCAAAATTTGAGGCGAATCTATCATTCCGTTTACAATCTTGAAAAGAAAAACCAAATCTAGCATTAAACGACGATTTTCTAATGTTGGTATATTAAGTAATTTTAAAATGTCACAATACACTATATCTTCTGAAGAAATTCCTAATTTATAGCCTACAAAGCGCAAAAATTTTTTCTGAACTTTCTCAATGTTTTCAATATGACATTTATATAAAGGAGACCAAATAGTGCTGGAATATTCCAGAACTGATCTAACCATAGAACAATACACACTTTTAAAACAATCTAGGTTATTGAATTCTGACAAGGTTCTTTTCAAAAATCCAAGTAATTTAAAAGCTTTATTACAAATAAAATTTTAGTGATTTTTGAAACATAAAGTGGGATCAAAAAATACACCTAAATCTTTGAAAGTGTTTGTTGGTTCCAGAAATATATTATTTAAAGAGTAATTAAAACAGATAGGTTGTGAGTTTCTAAAAAAGCGCATTATTTTACATTTATCGATATTAAGTGAAAGGTCATTCTTTGTACACCATTTTGAGAAATTATTTACATCTTTTTGCATTTTTACACAGTCTCTAACATCCTTAATAATTCTAAAAATTTTCAAATCATCAGCATACAACAAAATAACACAATTTTCAAAGATTTCTAAAATGTCATTTATGAAACAAATAAAAAGAATAGTCGATAAATGACCACCTTGTGGGACGCCAGACCTAACCAAAATCTCTTCAGAAAGACAGTTTTTGACTTTGACAACCTGAAGCCTGTCTGTCAGGTAGCTCTCCAACCACTCAAGCAGGGATCCATGAATTCCTAGTACCTCTAGTTTTTTTATAAGAATCTTGATGTTAACACGATCAAATGCCTTTGAGAAGTCGGTATAGATCACATCGACCTGAGCCCCCTTCCCAAAGGCATCCAAAATGAATTCTTCTAGGATCACTAGATTGGTGGTCGTAGACCTACCCGGCATAAAGCCGTGTTGTTCAGGAATAATTAAACTTTTTATTGGAAAAAATATTTTTGAAGCAATAAGTGACTCAAAAATCTTTGCAAAAATAGAAATTTTGGAAATGGGTCTGTAATTTTCTATACATGTTTTACTACCATTCTTAAAAATAGGAGAAATATAACTTTTTTTCCACTCTTCTGGGAAAGTGCCAGTACTTAATGAAAAACGAAAAATTTTTAGTAATACAGGAGACAGAACAAAACGACATTTATGTACAAAATAAGGTGAAATTTCGTCAGGGCCACTACTAAGTTTTAGATTTAATTTTTCTAACTTATTAAAAACATCTATTAGACTAATATCACAGCTGCTTAAACTAACTGTTTTATTACAATCAAAGCTTGGAATATCACAGTTATTGTTATCTACATATGACTTAGAGAAATGCTGTTTAAAAAAATTAGAAATTTCTGATGGATTGTTTGACTCATTGTTTTCATAGGTCATGTTGTTTGGTAAGTCATAATGTTTATTTTTACTGTGTACATAACTCCAGAATTCTTTGGAATTTATTTAACAGCAGATATCATAATACACTCCAATTCAATTGTAGGTTATACAACAATAAAAAAATTTCAATATAGTTATACTGTGATCCTTCCTAATAATAATTTATGATAATTTCTAAACATAAAACTATAACAAATGTTCACTCGATTGTAAAATTCTCGTCTACATTAGCCAGAATGCGTGGCGTTATTTTTGCACACTCTTCAATAATTCGCATTTTTAATGCTTCAATATCTGCAAATTGTTGGTCAGAATATATTTTTGATTTTAAATGCCCCCAGATAAAATAATCGTTTGGAGCTAGATATCCCGATCTCGGAGGCCACTTAATATTATAGTCAGGTCCAATCAAACAATTATTAAAGCTGTTTTTCAGGAATTTTTAACCTCCCAGTTATTATGCGCAGGGCAGCCATCCATTTGAAACCAAATTTCTTCTTCATCTGGAGGTATTTCTGCAAGTCTAGGTAAAATTTCTTCTTATATAGCAAGTATAAAAACTTTTTTGAATTTAAATTTTCCTCATAGAAATTCCTAAATATTCCTAACCAGTTTTGTCGACCAAATCCTATAATTTTGAACATTTGGTTCATTATTTAATGTAAATGTACATTCATCACTAAACAAAATGTTTTTTAAAAATTGTCTGTCTGCATTAGCGTTCTCTAACATTTCATAACAAAATTCCTCTCGTCGTTCAGCATCTCCTTCTCTTAGTTCTTGATGACATTGAAATTTATATGAACGGACTTTATTCCTTTTCAAAATTTTTTAAGGCTGTAGAGTTATGAATATTAAACTGGTCTGCAATGGTCCGAGAACTTATTCTAGGATTTTCTACAACTGCTGTTAATACATTTATTTCATTTTGATTTTCTAAATTTTTTGGTACCTCAGCAATATTGTTTGTACAGGTACAATTAGAAATCACTGTGCCAGTATTTTCAAAATTTTGTAAAATCCTTTGAATTGTTGAATGACTTGGAATTGGTCTATTGGGATATCTTACGCTAAATAAAGAACTGACAATTCGCGCACTATTGCCTGAATAAAACATTTTTATTATTGCTACTTTCTCCTCAACTGAATACATTTTTTAATCAACTATGTTGTTTTTTAAACAATAAATCACTAAATTAAAATTTTGGCAATTCAAATATCAGAAACATAAATATGATCAAATGCAACATGTCATACACATTCTTGTACTTCGTGTGGCCTGAATTTTTAAGGGGTGGCCTAAAAAATGTATATTTTTACAAAATTTATTGTATTGGAGTATGGAGTATAATAACGGTTTGTTATTTAAAAAAAAACTCTTTTTTCTTTTATTACTCTATATTTCGCTGATTTTTTGTCAGCTTTATCAGGAGACAACTAAAATATGGTTAAAAGTTATATAAATATCAGGTGAGAATAAACAATGATTTACTTGCAGATTTAGAGTTAAAAGTATTTAAAAATGTTGAACATAATATATTCAAAACAGTACTGACAATATTGGTTAAAAGCACCTGGTCACTAGTAATTAAGTATAAAAAAATATAGCAAACAAAAACAACCAAGAAACAATAAACACAATAAAATTACACATTAAAAATATACAGGGTGATTTAAAATATAATTGTAAACAGAAAAATTATTTGAACATACTACGAATATTACAGTAGATATGCTCAACTGTATATTTTTAATGAGTAATTTTATTGTGTTTTAATTGTTTCTTGGTTGTTTTTGTTTGCTATATATTTTTTTTATATTTAATTACTAGTGACTGGGCCAACTTCAAACAAGAGGGTCTTCACATTAAATGAAGTAGAAGAGAGAAAGTACATTAAATATAAAGTTGTCTATATCTAAAAACGTCCCGGCATTTTTGGCTTCAATAAACAAATACACTACACTAAACTCTCTCTTAACGGCACCTCTCTTCAACGGACATCTCTGTATGGATAGTTTTAAATAGTATTAAAACTAAAATCAGTCGGCGATATAATATGAAACTGTATGTATATTTTCGTTACTTTTTAATCTGTAACGATTCAGTACTTTAACTATCAATAGCTGGTATGTTATACCCATTACTTTCGGAATTTTAAGAGTACATCCAGACAAAGCAAACAAATTTTTAAAACTAACACAGTGAAATATTAGATCCTTATTCTGGTTTCTGAACCATCGTTCTGCCCATTTCTTTTCATTTATATTAAAAATAGTATATTTCTTTTATTACAGTTGCAGTACCTAATAAAGTAATAAAATAATGTAATATCAAAGAATCCCGGCACACCTTTTTGGTGTTTACATTTCACGGAAACCCAACCCAAATGTCTTTGTACATTTGGGCTTTATAGATGTCATTGTATTTATTTGTAGGACTGTTTGTGTAAAATTTTTTGTTATTTTCGGATTAAATTTTACAATAAATTTTGCATCTATCTGAACATCTATTAACTGAGATAATTTTAGTTTAAGTGTCAAACCAATAGTAGATCCATTTTATTGGAATACTCTGTAGACCAATTTACTTTCAAACTTCTACTTGCACAGTAAAATATTCGTTGTCGCAATATCCAAAACAGTCGTATATTTGTGGAATAACCCATACAAAGATGTAATTAGAACAATTAATTGTTAATTATTGTATCTCCAAAATCATTTACCTGTTTTGTAAATCTATACTTATAATGGAACCATCTCCACTGGAACACACTAGGTAATGTTTAGCATCATTTGTTACCATATCACTAATATAATCTTCATTTTTCTTTGTTTTGTATATTTGTTTATCAGATTTCTCCCTCAAATCCCAAAGTTTTATCATCCCATCATCATCTCCTACAATTAAAAGATATTAAGTATACAAAACTTTGATGTACCAAATGGGGAAAGCTACTCAAGATAGTAATATAATAATCACATCAAAATAAAAATATTTAGTCAAAATACTAAGATTGAAGATACCAGTAAAGCAAAAATGGGAAAACATAAAAAGAAAAGACTTCTAATTGGTTTAGTATTGTAGCTACAAGAACAGGTTTCAAGCTCTACATAGCCCATCCTTAGATCCAAACATTAACAAGTTACTTAACCACTACAAAAAGAATCTATTAAATGCATCAGCTGAAAGTTTCTGTGCTGATAAGTAAGTATACTTGCAATATAATATCATATTAAATCTTGTTTAGTATAAGTTTAGTATTGGCATAATTTATAGATTACCAACCAGCATTCTCTCTTTTCTGTTTTTAGTGGTTAATGTTTGGACCTAACGATGGGCTGTATTTGTGGAGGCTGAAACTTAAATTGGCTGTCATAATTACAATAATAAATTAATTAAAAGTCTTTATTTTTTCATTTTACCCTTATTCTGTATATATTATTATATAAATATTAAAATACCTGTGGCAAATATGTTTTCATCTATAACAGTCAAACAATATACAGGTACATCATGTGAATTTTCATAAAACTTAACCAGTTGTCCATTGCTCATATCTGTAATCATTATGGACTTATCTTTTGATGTAGAAAATAAATGTTTACCATCACAACTAAACTCGATATCTCTACAAGCTTTTGTGTGGAGTTCTATTGTATTAACCAAGTTGTTTGTCTCATTTGAATATTTGTAAATGAGAACATCACCCACAATATTTGCAACAGCCAATAAATCCTCATGAGGATGAAAAGATATGTCTGTTATGAAATCTTCACACTGTATGTTGGGTGGACGGTCTCTTTCTTTTTTACTTTCATTTCTGATTGCTTGTATAGTTTCATCTTCCTCCTCCTCTCCTTGTAACTCAACGTCGGATTCTGTGTTTTTTGAAACATCAATATCATTTTCAGTTTCGCTAATTTGGTTCTCGGAATCAGAATCAGTCATGGACACATCACTGCTATCCGAGCTATCCTCCATTGCTATTATACTTTCTTCAGAACTTTCTTGGAGATGTTTCTTTTGGCACATATTTTGTAGTTTTATCTAGATTACAGGATCCCAAACACAAACACATTTTTTAATCTGAAATTGTTGAGGTTATGTGTACTTGACGTAGGCACAGAATAATAAACAAACAGAATACCCACTCTCCACGGAAAATTAAGTACGCGCATCTCCTTCGCGCAGACGTTCCGCCATGTTTTACGAGGATTTTAAAGGGAACCAGTGTTGTTTATGTGGTGTGCATGAAAAAAAAACCAGGTTTATTTGACTTACGGCAATCAAAGACATACAATACAATTATATTAACATTGTTAAATATAATAACATAAATATAATATAATTAAACATAAATATAAACAATTACATAACCACACAAATCATATGTCTGTGTCCTCCTAAAACATGGCGCGCGTGCTGAAAAAACTTCAAAGGCGGCATCTGAGAGTGGCCCTTCTGTTTGTTTATTATTCTGTGACGTAGGTGTAGGGGTGTAGTGTTACCACAGTATAACGACGGTTAAAATGCAAAACCTCGTAAGTCGATTTTTGGTCAATTGTGACTTTTATACTTTTTTGGTTTATATTTTTCCATATCTTTTAAACTACGAAATCTTGTAAGTCTATATTTAAATTTAATGGTACTAGCGACATCTACAAAAACCTCGTAAAACTAACTGTTAGCAGAAAACTCTTAAGTTCGACTTGCGTGGTTTTGGAGTTTAATTTTGTGGGACTTTCAGAAACTATTTCATTACTTGAGTGGTGGTTGTCAATTTTGTTGTTGTGTTAATGAGATTTTGAGAAGATAATATCTATTGGCATTACATAATTTTGATAATAAATTCAAGAGGAAAATATATCTTAAGCTTAATAAAAACAAACAGTGCAGATTGCCAAGAGGGGTAAGTTTACTGTTGTACAATTATTTTTAATGTAATATTAAGGTAATTTGTTCGTAATCAATAAAGCGAGGTTATCTTTTTAGTATAAAAGATGGTCAGGCATCACTTAGTGATAATAATTATGCAGATAAAACCCATGATTTAAAATCTTTATCTCAGAGTTTAAATAACAGTAATGATGATGTTATAAATTTAAATTCTGAAGAAACGGAACCATTTGAAGACAGTGGATCTGAATATATAGTGTCTACCGATGACACTGATGAAAGTGACCAATTTACCAATGAAGCTGAAACTGACAATAAAAATCAAACCAAAAAGAAAAGGGCAAAAAAATGGAATGTACACAAAGAAAAATGGGGTCGCTCTAACAACAGAATAACAAGAATGCGAGGTGAGAAATATGATTCCAAAATGTACGAAAAAACTACTAAAAAGTACGTAACCGTTGAAAGAAATCAAAGACAAATGGGTCCAGCTTGTGAATGCAAATTGTCTTTAAAATCATCAAAACTCTTTTGCAGAACATTTAGTCAAGAAGATAGGTTACAGTTATTCAATAACTTTTGGCAGTTGAATTGGGACGAGAAAAAAATGTTTGTAAAAGGCCTTGTTGATACAGCACCAATTAAACTACGCAAAGCAGGTAACTAATAATATTTTAAACTCTATAATAGGTTTACTAAAATAAATTTGATTTTAGAAGCCATTGAGAAACAGCGGAAAGGTACCTTATGTTTTCATTTAAAAAAGAATAGTATACGACTTCGGGTATGCAAAAAAATGTTTTTAGAGACACTATGTGTAGGGGAGTGGAGTGTAGCAAGTTGGGTAAACGTAACTCAAACCCAAAATATTGAGCAATTGAATACTAATTGTAAATCCGAGCCAACGGAAAAGAAAAAGTTCCTAATTAACTTTTTTCAAAAGTTGCCCAAACTTGAAAGCCACTATTGCCGTAAAGAAACATCTAAATTGTATTTAGAACCGATGTGGCAAAATATAAACGAATTATATAGATGTTACACTAATGAATGTCGATCAACTAACGAACATGCTCCAGTAAGTCACACGTATTTTAGAAGACAATTTGAGGACCAAAATTTGTCTCTGTTTAGGCCAAAGTAAGTGTTTACTTATTGTTATTTTATTGCCTCCAATAAATCAATTTTTTTAGGAAGGACCAGTGTGACATCTGCACTAGTAACACTGTTGGGACTGTAAGTAATGAAGATTATCAGTTACATATTATTAGAAAAAATGCTGCTCGCCAAGAAAAGGAAAAATTAAAACAGTCCACTAAAAACGATTCAACTAAATTGTTGTTCACTATGGATTTACAAACGGTTTTAAGTGCGCCAAAATTGCAAGTATCTGTTTCGTACTATAAAAAGAAACTTAATGTTCACAACTTGTGCTTTTTTAATCTAGCATCAAATAAGGGTGACTGTTACATCTGGCATGAGGGAGCCGGAAATATAAATGCTTCTGACTTCACATCAATTGTCATTCACCATATTGAAAAGTATGTAACAGAAGAAACAAAAGAAGTTATTTTTTTTTCTGATGGCTGCAATTACCAAAACAGGAATTCAACTTTGAGTAGTGCTTTATCCAATTTTGCAGCAGCAAAGAATATTCAAATTTACCAAAACTATTTGGAAAAAGGACATACTCAAATGGAGTGCGACTCGATGCACGCCTGCATCGAGCGTCAGCTGAAAAATAGGGACATTTATGTACCTGGCTGTTATGTTCAAATTTGTAAAAATGCAAAATTACAGCATCCTTATGATGTTCATTACCTAGATCATCTTTTCTTTAAAGATTATTCCCAGATTGAAACATATCCCTCAATTCGTCCAGGTAAGAAAAAAGGTGATCCTACAGTCACAAATTTAAGGTGTCTAGCATATCGTCCGAATGGTCTTATAGAGTACAAATTGTATTACGAAGATGACTGGAAACTACTACCGCAACGACCCAACAAAGAAAAAGCAAATAATGCTCCGCCATTATCATATCCTACTGCACCAAAAATAACACTTTCTAAATTTAATGATTTGCAGGATATGAAAAACTTTATTCCTAAAGATTTTCGGCATTTTTATGAGTCTCTTGCTCATGAGTAAATAGAGGATATTAGCCAGTTATAAATTATCACAATTTTTATTTTTTATTTTTTTTTATTCTTATGGACAGAATTTAATTTAATAGTGAATATTAGCAAGTTTTATAAACTACGGCTATTTTGGTTTTGATTTTTTTACTTTTTAAGTATAAAGATTGGTTGTCACTACTCGTTTTTAAGAATATTTTATAAGTTTTATACCATAGGTGATGTAATGTAATAAATTAACTAAAAATAATTTAATTTATTGCTTTTTTTTTAACCTCGGAAGTGGTTCTTTTGAGACAAAACCTCGTAAGTTTACTGACAGTTTAAGATTTTAAGTTGCAAAACCTCGTAAGTGGCTTTTTGACAAAAAAAAACAATGTTACTAAATTTTACTTAAGAGTAATGTAATCGTTACCTCAAAAGAACCCTACACTCAAAAAACGAGAAAACTGAATGTTAAGTCAAGAAGCCAAAACGTTTTTCGTCTCTCCTGTAAAGTTACATAAAACTGACTTACGAGGTTTTGCAGTTTAACCGTCGATAAATAACAACTGTCTATACCACAGAATAATAAACAATCAGAAGGGCCACTCTCAGATGCCGCCTTTGAAGTTTTTCAGCACGCGCGCCATGTTTTAGGAGGACACAAACATATGATTTGTGAGGTTATGCAATTGTTTACATTTATGTTTAATTATATTATATTTATGTTATTATATTTAAAACTGTTAATATAATTGTATAGTATGTCTATGATTGCCGTAAGTCAAATAAACCTGGTTTTTTTTTCCATGCACACCACATAAACAACACTGGTTCCCTTTAAAATCCTCGTAAAACATGGCGGAACGTCTGCGCGAAGGAGATGCGCGTACTTAATTTTCCGTGGAGAGTGGGCATTCTGTTTGTTTATTATTCTGTGTCTATACTGTCAGAGAACTACGAACACAGAGAAGCGACACGAGGCCCGGAATTCGTGTATCTTTTCTGTATACGCATGACCCAAATAAGGTGCTTTACTGTCAAAAACACGTGCGTTTTCTTCAACTTTAGTCGCTTACGATAGTCCATAGGCATCTGTGGTAAACTCTCGACTATACAAGTGCATTTGACCATTTATCTAATTTACTTAGTAGTTAAAAGTTTATAGTTATAGTTTATAGTTATAGTTTATAGTTATAGTTTATAGTTATAGTTTATAGTTATAGTTATAGTTTATAGTTATAGTTTATAGTTATAGTTTATAGTTATAGTTTATAGTTATAGTTTATAGTTATAGTTTATAGTTATAGTTTATAGTTATAGTTTATAGTTATAGTTAAAATATATAAGTTAAATATATAAGTTTATAGTTAAAAGTTTAATTTATAAGTATTTAAAATGTCTTCTTGTTATTGTTGTGCGTTTCGCGGATGTTCATCTGTGACAGAAAAAGGAATAAGTTTATTTAGATTTCCTAAGAATAATAACAGGTAATTACTATTGCTTTGTAATTATTATTAGTTATTATATAATAGTATTAATTTGACTTTGAGTAAGCCGACACCGACGTGTCCGCCCGAGCTCTCGTTTGCTCGAAAAAAAATAAATTTTGGTTTGCCAAGGGATAGTTCAGAATAAAAACCAGAGAACTACGAACACACATTAAATTTATTGTTTCCGAAGGATCAGGTCAAAAAATCAACACAGATGTTGGCCTACTGGTGTGAAAGCGCTCGCAGACAACAATACGAATATAGTATTTTTAGGAAATAAAAATATATAGAGAGTTTTATACACGAGAATATTTGATTTAAACGAAACAAAGAAATTCCTAAAATGCTCAAACTAAAAATTTTTGGAAACATAATTAGATCGAAAATTGGGAAAATCTTAAAATTACAACAGAACAAGACTTCAAAATAAAAACATGATTGCAAATAAAGAAACTTACATTAAATTATGAAAAAACTAAATGCTCATCTACTTTTTGCTATATACAAAAGTTGTCTGTCAATGTTTAATTCGTTAAATATAAATAACAAAGATCAAATATATGGATCAGACTACACAACATATTTAGGGAATAAATATTTAAATGGGAATTACAATAAAAAATATTAAAACTTTATTTATTGTATATCTCAATATTTACTCTTTTCTACTAGTCAAACCCTTTAATTTGATACCCATATTGAAGTAGTTGTGAAAAAATAAGTAATCCGCTATTGTGTAGCGGCGTCCATCTTGGATATACAATGATACTGAATGTATGTAGTGTATGTATAGTCGATTCGCTAATCTCAGACACAACTATCTAGTATTTTAGTAATTATTTTATTGCGAAAGTTAGTTAGATTTTAACAGACTAGAACTGGATGACAATTACTATATTTACAACCAAGCATATATGCCCATAGCCAATATTAAGAGTAAACAGACATAAATCTTACTCCAATCAATCATTATTTATTTACACCATAATATAATTCCACAACAGACAGCGGAAGATTTGACCAATAATTTAAAGGTAAATGCTCCAAATATACATTTCTACTTCAAGAAGTTAAAGGTTACGGAGTACCAAGCAAGCTTTAAAGTTTCATATCCATTGGATTATAAATATGAAGTTCTCAATCCCAGTATCTGGCCTGAAGGTTCAATGGTTCGTCGTTTTGACTTCAAGTATAAGAATTGTACTAACCGCAGTTAACAACAAAACCAGAAATAATTGTTACAAATCCGGCTTAGGCAAACTAGATACTACAAATAATTTTAAAGGCAATACCAATCAACTAAAAATCGTATGTATTAACTCTGAATCTATTGTAAACAAAATAAATTGTATCGAAATATTAGTTTAAACTGAAAGTCTGGATTTACTATGTATATCCGAATCATGTGTAATGACAATAATATAAATTCGTTTTATCTTCCTAATGCTCTCTTGTAATGATTCGTAATACTTTTTTGATTATTTTTTAGGTTATTACATTTTTATATTTATAGAAATATACTCGTACAATAGTTACTTCTTGATTTTTTATTCGTTTTAGTCGAATATCGTTTACTCCAATATTCGACTTTAAAGGAAAAATGTAATTTTAATTGGTTTCCAAGACATTAACAATCGATATCAATATAAAGTTTCTTGTTTCTCAGTCTCACCCAAAGAGAATTGGAATTTTTAGAGTTTGTGAAATTTCCGTGGCAGTTACAATGGCTTTGTTATTTTTCGATTATATTACGAAAGATAATTTATTAGGAAATTCCACGACGAACAAATTATATCTTGTATCAACACAAGCCAAAAAGAATCGGTGTATTATTGTATTATCAATGTCAACATCAGAATAAACAAAAAAGTATTTTCATCTATGGTTCCATCAATACGATTTTCACCATTACTTTGCGTTGTGCGATGTATTTGCAACCTTTTGTAAATCAAAAATAATTACACCATTTAGAATGTCAACAAAAGCCGGCCCTGCATGTAATTATTTTTTCAGTGCAATATTTCATATTTATTGAAAGTCAACATAAATGCTCAATTTTATTTAAGAATTTATATTGTGTAATATGCCCACTGACTATTAAAAAATAAGGTGCTTTCCTGTCATTTTCACTCGTTGGCGGCTTGCCCACGCAAAATCAAAGGAGTGTCGCTTCTCTGCGTTCGTAGTTCTCTGATACTGTGGTGTTACTATTAGTGTTGCCATGTTGCCAACCGCATTTCTTTAGATTACCCAATGATCCCTCGAAAAAGATCCGATTTGTCATGAAAAGATACGATCGATATGTCAGAAATCATTCCGTAATTAAAATCAATGTTGCCCATGTTATTCTTTTATCTGACTACTTATTACAGAATAATTTTTAATCTATGATTTTCTGTTTTAACGTTTATTTTAAAAAATTCAGTTTATAAAAGTAAATTTTTATTGAACAGCTGACTCAATTGTATCCTGGCTGATTAATTCGTCCATTTTGTATTATTGTAAGTGTTGAATTATCTAAATATTTCATTATTTTGGATCATTTTATTTATTATTTTTAAATAAAAAACGGTTTTAAATATTATTTTATTAAAACGTAATAATTAACTAAGACTACTACAAAAATAAATAATAAATAGATTAATACAAAAAAAACTAGTTACATTTTAACGGCTTAAAGATTTATTATATACATACACCATCGAGTTAAAATCTATGGAGAAGCTATGAGGATATTAACGTATGAATTAAAAACGGCGTAGGTAGGCGTGGCTAACGGTAATACCAATATGGCGGTGGGATCAGGGCCAGACTCAATAATAATAAAACTACTATACAAATATGACTAGTTATTCAGAAGATTTAATCATAATCTAAAAAAGTGCAATACATTTTTAATAAACTTTGATTTATTTATCCCGCGGTAAACACTAAAAACAGAATATATTATACATAAAGATAAATTAATACAGTCAAATACTATTAATTTATTCTCTGAAGTACGGGCCATTACTTTGTTTACATATTTGTATACTAACCTGTGGAACGTTATTCCTGAAGATTTTTTATTAACATTGCTTCTGCTACTGCAACTACGTTGAGAACAAGAAACCATTATTATGCACTTCACAATATAATATTACAGTTTCTATAAAAGTATACTTCATCTAATTTAGATAACGACTTACGTCATTATCTACGTCAGAGATCGAAGTTGACATAGTTGCCAAAGTATAAAAAAATCCTGACTCCATTTTAAATCAAATAGATTACATAATTATTGCAAAAGTATTACCATCTCTTTACAACGACTATTTAAATTCTTACGTGACATTTTTGAAATAAAACACACTAATTTTGTTCTAAAAAGAACAGATTTTATTAAATAGTTAAAAATATAAAACAAGAGATATTCACTTTAAAATTCAAAATAATGAAGTACAAAAAGTGTCAACACCGCAACTGTCAAATAAGTGTTACCAATTTATGCCAAAATTTTAGCTTTGTTCGATTACAGTTACAGTGTGTTCCGAACAAATGTTCTTGATAAAAACGCTTTATAATGCATTTATACAAATTAAATGAAACATATTATTGTGTATTTCTTTAAGTTAACATTAATAGAAATTTTTAAATATTATTTCTACGCGTATATAATAAAATATGTCTAGTGGCTGTAATGCCAGTGTACTCGGTAAAGTGATTCTAAAAAAGAACACACCTACACCCTAAATATTTTGTGTTGGTATCATGTAACGTCACAGGCTATGACGCCGATGACGTGCATCGTTATATAAATTAGATGAAGTGTATTATAAAACTAAAAATATTCGAAAATCAAAAAATGTAAACAAACATACGATCTGTCAAAAGTGTCAAAACAATATTCTTAACAATATGGCCGAAATGAGGTCGTTTTTAGTCACGTGATGCCCTCTCCATAGATTCTAACTCGATGACATACACCAAATAAGAACACCTGAAGTTCAATTTGGATTCAGGTTAGGACTCGGAACGAGGGAAGCACTTTTCAGTCTGCAAGTCTGCAATACAGAGAGTCAGACATGTCAACTGAGATGTGTATGCTTGTTTTATTGATTTCGAGAATGCGTTTGATAAAGCCCACATGGGAAACTAATTGATATCCTAAACACATCAGGACTCGATGGTAAAAGACTGATCTCAAACTTATATCTCCAACAAAAAGTAACAGTACGATTCAAAATGAACTGTCCGAAATCTTCACAGTCGGAAAAGGGGTTAGACAGGGTTGCATACTGTTACCAGCATTATTTAACAATACTCTGAAAACATCTTTAGCCTTGGACGAACCAGAAGATGGTATTGCAGTAAATGGTCAACTTATCAACCATTAGATAGGCAGATTATACTGTATTTCTGGCAAATAGTGCGCAGGGGCTTCAAAGGATGATGGATAATGTTATAGAAACATGTAACAAATACGGCCTAAAACTAAATTGTAAGAAAACAAAAATATTGATCATTGGTAAGAACACCAACATAAACGCCCAAATTACAATAAGCGATACACTGTTAGAAAGAGTGTAGAAAATATGATATTTGGGCTGCAATATTAAGAATACTCGGGATCATAGCTACGAAATAAAGCCAGAAGCTCTTTCCAGAACAGTCTTAGGAAGATTCTCTGCAACTTATCTTTAAGTATAAATATACGCATAAGAATTCTTAGATGTTACATCTTTAGTGTCCTCCTCTACCTAACATAACTAAAGATAGAAAGACTATCCTAAAATCGCAACGGTGGGACCTCCTTGTTTCCTGATGTCATCTTTCCATCTCATCTGTGGTCTGCCTCTTGATCTCTTTGCATTGTATGGACGCGACTTTCCGATGGCATTGTTCCATCGTCCGTCTTGGAGACGTTCATTGTGTCCAGCCCATTTCCATTTCAGTTTTGCTGCTTGTTCTATCGCGTCTACTGTCTTTGTTCTGGTTCTGATCTACTAGTTACGTTTTCTATCTTTAAGTGATGTACCCAACATTTGTCTCTCCATCGCTCTTTGTGCCTTCCTTATCCTATCCAAATTGGCCTGTGTAAATGTCCATGTCTGTGCTCCGTAGGTGAGCACCGGTATTATACAGGAGTTATATACCTTGCTTCGTAAGTATAGAGGGATTGTTTGATTTTTTAGAACGTAAGAAAGTTTGCCGAACGCTGTCCATCCCATTCTTACTCGTCTCGATATTTCGGCTGTTTGATTTTCTCTGTTAGCTCTCTATACCACAATAGATAACACCATAGATAACTAATATAATATGAATAGAAAGGTAGACACTTTTTGATCTTTTTGTCACAGAATAGTAAACAATCAGAATACCCACTCTGCTTGTCAAGATGAGTACCGTAATTTCGGGTGACTTTCGCCCGCCAGGGTGACTTTGGCTCATTGTGGGAAAAAGATATTTTAGTAACTTATGTACAATATATTATCATGTAAATTTCATTATACCGCACCATCATTACCATATTACCTTTAGGAAAATTTTAATAAATCATGGTAATACTGGTTATAATAAGAAAAAAAAATGAATTTTAAAATATAGCCATTTTACATAAGATTTCTTGACTGTAAAAATTGGTTGGCAACCAATAATATTTCCAAGAGTAAGATTAATTGCATAGTTGCACATTGAATATCTGTGAATTCTTACCCACCTGGCGTCAGTATTTCAGTCTAAACGTAGATGCTAATAAGGTCAGTTGTTACTTGCAAAGTGGTACAGAATTTAACGGTTTTCGGGTGACTTTGGCCCAGTTTGTTGAATGTTGGATTTTGGCCATTTGTTGGTTCTATATTTAAATTAAAGTAAGCAAATCTCAGAGTTGAAGGTGAACACACTGACTATGTGAAAATCATGCGTGGAGTGAGGCAAGGCTGTATTTTATCTCCTCTAATCTTTAATCTGTATTCTGAAAGAATATTAATCGAAGGTCTGCACGAAACTGAGAAAGGTGTTCTACTAAATGGTTACCGGCTTAACAACATCAGATATGCAGATGACACCATAGTATTTGCGGACAACTTAGAAGACCTACAAGTTCTTATGAACAAAATCACGTATTACAGTCAACAATATGGACTCAATATAAACGTTAAGAAGACAAAGCTTATGATAATTAGCAAGAAAATGATAACAGAAGGTCAACTCTACGTCAATCAATCCCCTGTAGAAAGGGTGACGCACTACAACTACCTCGGCACCACAATCAATGAAGAATGAACCAACAACCAAGAGATTAGAGCACGCATCGCAAAAGCTAGATCCACCTTTAATCGGATGGGGGCCTTCTTCAAGAGTCACAACCTCTCTCTTGATACAAAAGTAAGAATGCTGCGATGCTACGTCTTCTCTGTCCTTTTTTATGGTGTTGAATCGTGGACCTTGAACGAAGATATGTGCAAAAAACTTGAAGCATTTGAGATGTGGCTATATCGGAGAATACTTAAGATTCCATGGACTGACCGAGTCACAATTAGGAGGTCCTTAGAAGAATGAATAAGAACCGAGAGGTACTGACCACCATTAAATCTCGAAAGTTACAATTCTTCACATATATTATGCGAAATGAATTCAGATATGCTCTCCTTCAAGCCATCCTGCAAGGAAAAATATTTGGAAAGAGAGGTCCAAGAAGAAGAAGAACATCTTGGTTAAAAAACCTCAGAATCTGGTTCAATACAACATCTGTGCAGCTTTTCCGCGCTGCTTCAGATAAGATAAAGATTGCCATGATGATCGCCAACATTCGTAACGGATAGGCACATCAAGAAGAAGAAAGTAAATGCTGATTTTTAATTTGAATTTAGCCTTGTAACAACTGCAGGGTTTGTTAACTGTATAGAACTAACGACTTTTTTTTAGATGCCCTCAAATCACAACCGTGTTGCTGGTAGTAGAAATTATGGAAATTACAGACACAGTAGAAAGAGCTCTAGAAGCTATCAGAAATGGAGTCCTATCTCAAAGAAAAGCTGCAATAGAATTCGGAGTGCCAGTAAGTACTTTAAAAAATAGATTAAAAAAATAGGCATACAAAACAATATGGTGGTCAAACAATTTTTACAAAAGCTGAAGAGGACGCCTTCACGTCTCATATTTGTAGCTTATCTTTATACGGATTTCCATTGGATCAGACAGATTTACGAAATTTAGTGAAAAAATTATTTAGATCGTGATGGTCGAACTATTAAGCAATTTAAAGATAACTTGCCAGGAAAAGACTGGTTAAATGCTTTCCTTAAACGAAATACGTTGTTAACGCAACGTTTTGCAAGCAACATCAAACGATCGCGAGCAGAAATCAGTGAAATCACTATAAAAGACTACTTTAACCAATTGCAGAATGAACTCGCCGATGTCCCAGCTAACAAAATTTGGAACTATGATGAAACAAATTTAAGTGACGACCCCGACAAAAAGAAAATTTTACGAAACTAAATTTTTAGAACGAATTTAGAAAAAACGTGAAACTAAATATCCTGAGATAATGATGAATTTTAGTAAATCGGCAACATCAATAATGTTTTGTGGAAATGCGGCTGAAAAATTGCTACCTCCATATGTCGTATATAAATCAAATAAACTGTGGTCGACTTGGGTAGAAAATGGTCCAAATGGAGCACGGTATAACAGATCGAAAAGCGGATGGTTCGACACAGCTTGTTTCGAAGACTGGTTCGCTTTTTTTTATTGCCAAGATTGAAACCCATTCCTGGCATGATTTTATCCACATCGCGATATACACAAATACACGTGGATACAACAGACCCGAAATCTGAAATCTATAATAGATTATAGCATTGTAAGACAGAAAACTTCTATTAAAATACAAGATGTGCGAGTAGCCAGAGGGCCATCATGTGGCACCGATCATCATCTGCTAAAAGTTAAAACGGTACTCCCAAACAGATACGAAAAAGAAAAAGAGCACATCGAGTCAAATCAGTTAATAGAACAAGTACGAAACTATGAGAGTGTAAAGCTACTGTATAAAAAACGATTAGACCAAAAATTAGAAATGGGTAGTTTTGAAAATACCGAAGAACACTACGAACACATCAAAAGGTCGATTCATTTAGCAGCAGAAGAAGCACTGGGGAAATGTGACGAAAATCATATAGGTATAAAACCGTACTGCTGGGATGAAGAAATAGAAAAGGAAATTAAAGATAAACGTCGGAAATACCAAACATTTTTAACAACAAAAACAGAAAACGATAAAACAATTTACAAAGAAGCACAAGCCAAAGTAAGAAAAAAGATAACTCAAAAAAAGAACGAAAAGTATTTTTTAAGATTAAAGATGAAATAACCTTCTTTGGTGGTTTGCTGATGAGGAATAGTCAAATTATAATTCCTCATACAATGAGGAAAGAAATGGAATTCACTATGGTCATCAAGGAATAAATAAATGTAAAATGTTAGCAAGACAATCATTATATTGGCCTTCCATGACAGTTGAAATTGAGAATGAAGTTAAAGGTTGCCCAATTTGCCCACAATTTGAAAATGCAAAAAGAGAACCTTTAACTCCACACAATATCCCAAAACTCCCATGGGAGGAAGTTGGCTCTGACATATTTCACATAGGTCAAAAAAGTTATTTAATAGTGGTAGATTATTATAGTAAATATCCAGAAATTTGTCTGTTGAAAGATACAACCAGTTCAACTGTAGTTACACATTTAAAATCAATATTTGCTCGTCATTGAATACCAAAAATCTTTTACTCTGATGGTGGACCACAATATATAGCCAACGAATTTGTTAAATTTTGCCAAGAATGGGAATTTAAAAGTATAAAGTCAAGCCCAGAAAATCATAGATCTAATGGTCTAAGTGAAAGATATATTCAAACCTACAAAAAAGCGTTAAGAAAATCTCATAAAGATGGTAAAGATACATACTTAACATTGCTACAACTTAGAAATACACCAATTGATTCAAATTTACCATCACCAGCTCAACTTTTAATGTCACGAGTACTTAAAACTCAGATTCCCACTACTGACAAAATTCTAAAACCAAAATTATGTAATGCTAAAATAGTGATCAGTAATTTTCAGAAAAGACAGAACATTCAAAAAGCTTATTATGATAGAGGTACAATAAATTTAAAACCGCTTAAAACTAATGAAAAAGTTTATGTTAAAGATAAAAGCAAATTGAGAGAAGGTCTTATCACACATAAATTAAGAGATAAAACCTACTCGATTAAATTAAGAGATTCTGGGTCAGAAATTGCAAGAAATAGACAATTTTTAGTTCACATTCCTGCAACTTCTGATGATGAACATACAAATAATGAATCTGAAACTAGTGAGTCACAAAATCTTGAAAGTGTCTCTGATAATAATTCTGATCATCACTCTCCAATAAACTTACCTCCACAAACCTCCTCAGGCCGAATTGTTAAAAAACCTGATAGATTAGATTTGTAAGTAATTTTATTATAAAAAAAGGGAGTAAAGGATGTATGGAACAAATGTTTATTTAAAAATTTGTTAAAGAAATTTATTTTAATTTTGCCATTTTAAAAAGAGGAGGATGTGATGTATGTGAATAAGAAAACATTCGGAACGCACTCAGGTTGGTAACATGTAAGAGTGACGTGACGTACAGGTGCAAGGAAGAGGAAATAAAATCATTCTGAATCTAGACACGATAGATGAAAGGTGTTTCATTGTAACCTAATTTCCACTCTCCATAACCTATCCTATAAACCCGACCACGTGTCATCACACATGGGAACAGAACTGCCAAAAAATCAACACCTACACCTACGACACAAAAAGGATCACTGTGAAAATTACAGAGGAATTGCGGTAAACAGCACAATAAGTAGGATGTATGAGAAACTTATTAAGATCAAAATACAAAATGACTATAGAGATTACGAAGCAGAAGAGCAAGCTGGTTTTAGAGCTGGGCGATCCACAGTAGACCACCTGTACTCTGTTATGCAAGTTATTGAGAAAAAAACAGCCTTTAATAAAGAAGTTCACCTGGTGTACGTAGACTTAAAAAAAGCATATGACAGTGTACTAATAAGTAAACTTTGGTCAACCCTACAGCAAACCAACATTAAGCATGGTCTTATCAAAGCAGTCCAAAGTCTGTATAATGGAACGACTGCAAAAATTAAAACTGGATCAAGGATATCTGAAGGATTTAAGGTCACGAAAGGACTAAAGCAGGGTTGCTGTATTTCGCCTACCTTTTTCAAAATTTATCTGGAACAAGCACTCAAGCTATGGAAAAGAAAATGTAATGGCATGGGAATCCCTCTCAATGACGAGACTACATTGTACACCTTATGTTTTGCTGATGACCAAATACTGATTGCCCAGGATCATGACGACTTGAGTTACATGACTCGAAAGCTAATAGAAGAATATAACAAATGGGGTCTCGAAGTCAACATTAAGAAAACTGAAGCCATGTGTATTGGAGGGACAAAACAGTCCATTATATTAGACGATGGGGTAAAAATTAGAAAGTGTGATGAATACAAGCACTTGGGTATGAAGATAACTCAAGATGGAACACTCGATGCTGCTATAAAAGACAGAAACATACTGGGTAGAAAAGCCATATCCATGATGAACGGCATTCTGTGGGACCAAACAATATCTAAAGCGAACAAACAACTCATATACAACACCATACTTAAAAGTGTAATCACATATGACAGTGAAGTTTGGCCAATGAAACAAAGAACAGAGAAACTGTTACTAGCAACAGAAATGGACTTCTGGAGAAGAGCAGCAGGCAAATCAAGAAGAGATCGGATACCAAATGAGAGAATACGAGAAATGATGGGAGTCAAGCATACAATAGTTGATGACATAAAAACAAAACAGTTAATATGGTACGGCCATGTACAGAGAATGCCAGATGACAGGATTCCAAAACAGATTTTGACGTGGACACCACAAAGGAGAAGGAAAAGAGGAAGACCGAGAAGAAGCTGGAGAGAGGGAATTGAAAAAGAACTAGAGGAAAGAGAAATCCCTTAAGACCCATGGTTGAATAGAGAAGAATGGTGGTTAGGAGTCGGAAGGCGTCAGAGAACGCTGTAAACCGATAGTAGTAGTAGTAGTAGCGAAACAGAGAAAGAAAATTTACAACAAAATGAGGTCCTCGGAGACGTTAATAACGAAGTTGTACTTGACAGTAGCCTAGATCAAGATATGTCTGGACAAGCGCCCATTGCTACAGCTGGCTGTAGTAAAGTGACTAAATATAAGACGGTGAAAAAACACAACGTTTAAATAAAATACAAGATTTTGGACACATTGCAGATACTACGTCTAATTCTGCATCTAATAAGAGCTACAAGAATAATGCTGATCTAGAAAAGCTTTCCCTTGGAGTTGATTCTCTATTGTATTGTAATTGTATCTTCGTAATTGTATCCGACTACGTCGACAGCTTTCCAGGAAAATTGGATGGATTTGTAAGAGGCAGTAATAACTGTTACGGTTGGGTGCAGATAATGGTACTTGGTGAAAGAAGTTTGTGGCAATGGCCCGAAGTCCCCGTAAGAAAATCTTACCAACTGGGTAATATTGATTTCACAGAGCCATTGGAACTTGAATAAACGATATTTCTTTCCAGATTTAAAAACAAGCTTGTAAATTGTTTTATTGTTCATTTTTTGTTTAAAAATGATGTTTAGTTTTAGTTTTTTTTTGTTTGAAATTTAAATCCATATTTTATTAACTAATAAAATGTTTATTTATTATTCATCTTGTAGGGTGACTCAAGCCCAAACACTTGAGACAAAGTATTGTTTAAAATCCTTTATAAAAGGTATATAAAAATTTTTATATACCTTTTATAAAGGATTTTAAACAATTTTTTGTGATATATGGTATACAGCCAGCTACAGGAACTTAGTTTCCTCGTGGAATTTTGAGACAAAGTCACCCGACAACAGCGGGTGACTTTGCACGCCACATTTTTATTTTTTTATAATAAAGTAAGCGCGTC